GGGGGGGGGAATTCGAGTCAGACAAATTTCCTGCTTTCCGGAGTTCTGAATCGATCTGACTCAAGAATTCGTAGCTACATCCTTTTTCGGAAACCGAGAAGACCCTATTTCAGCAAGGCCCTCTACCTGTGCAAGTCGGATATATGTTTTTTACATTGTCAGAGATCAGATCCATATTTCTTTGTTCATTTGTTCAATTCTTTCTTTGCAAGGCGTTTAAAGTGCACGAAGCGCTGGGTGAAGGAGTATTATTTTGATTTCATAGATATTAATTGAAGCCTGTTCTACAGTTAAAACTGCGAAGCTTCAAGTTGGTTCGAGACGTTGCGTATGAAATCCACACGTAGCTGTCCTTGAAATATTCTTGGTGAAGGACCTCGCTTCATCAATTCTAGCAGTCCTAAGCAGTATCTTGAATACCATACAGACATCATAAAACTTCCTTCGTGATTTTAGGGTTGTGCAGCCTGAACTTTTGGTCCTAGAGGCTGGATGAGGCACATTAGATAACACGGCCTGTCCTGCCCTAATGCATATCTTCCGGGTATAATTATTTTGAATCTTCCAGCAGTCGGAAAAATTTGGACTCAACGGGTGTGGTGCAGTAGGAACGAAATTGTCGCGTCGCGGCGAATGAGACGCTGCGCGCGAAGGAATGTAGCAGAGCGCAGCAGCAAGTAAGAAATTCGGGAACAAAAGATCTGACAGTAGAATCATGCCACAAAAAATAATCGCATAGCGATTGAGCTGTATGAAGATTGCTAGAGCTGTTATACTGATGCAAATGGTCCGCGACAGCCGCTTGCGGCAGATCGATTATATAAAACCGTTCCAACTGCCCGTCTCTCGGATTCAACAGGTCTCGAAGCATTCGTTTGCTGCCAAAATGTTAGTTGAGTAAAAACAGTTACAGTTTCGAGTGGGCTGCTACAATGAACACAGAAGCATCCTGGAGAGGTTTTTCGTTGCAATGTTTTATACTGGTCATAACGTTAGGCCATTGTTTACTCAGTGAGGAACGGGAGGCACTCTAGTGAGCGAACGTAATTGAATAAGAACTCCAGCTACCTGGAACATGAATGTAGCAGTTTATCCACTATCAAATAAAACTGGTTGAAAAGTATACTTTGTAAGGTCCGTTGAGGGTTCGGGTGAAAAGTCTGGAAGGGCTTAATCGTTGAAAGACTTCACAAACTTTTTTGGATGAGCGAAGCAAGTTTAGTTCTGTTGACATGAAGTTCAGCATTACCAAATTCCAGGATGACAGGGGGCTTTTCTTTCATTCAACTTAATTTGTTTACATTAATTTTTGATGTCTGTTAATACTGTTGAATTATACGGGGCGTAGAGATGCAAATGTTGTCACAAGGTGGCTGAGATATAAGGGAAACCTTGGGTCTTGGACGAGGCTCATTCCCACTTCTATGTTGACGTGCGCCTTTCCTAACCATAGGGCTACACAACCCTCAAGAGCATCCCACCCTCTCGAGCCCATACAGCCTACAAATGAGAGTCCTACAAATTTTTGGCTTACAGCCTTGTTATGGTAAATTAGAAAATTGGGATCATTAGCCATCGATAAACAATGTGGCAGGGTAGCTAGACGAAGCTTCTAGGGATATCATCATAGCACGGTAATAACTACATAGATGCGGTTCTAAGGAACCTTTGGACGTAGTGAGAGTCCTCCTTTTTCGGTAACTCAGTGGCCAAATAAAAGCTGATNTTTCAAGAGTTCGTACGATACTTCTGTCTGTCTTTCATATTTTGAGCACCGAATCGTCCACACAAATGGTTGTGCGGTTCTCAGATCTTGAAGGATTGTTAGAAGGCACCCCCTCCATAAATAACCTATTCAGCCTTTCTAGAAACTTATGGAGTCCAAATCACCTCGAAAATGTTCCCTCTGCAATGGAAGGAACGGACCAACGTTGAAATACCTAACATAGGCTTCTTCCTTGTTGATCTGCATCCCATTGTTCGGGCGCTCGAACCCTCATCAGCACATACAAGCGATTCTCCGGGAATTGCTCAAGTGTTCGACCCCTTAGCTAGAGAGCAAATCCAGCCGCTAGACCATGTGAAAGTGTCTCACCGTGATTCACCTCCCGAGTGACACTGGCGAAGGCGGCGTTGAACACGGCTAGCCGGATGGTTCTGGACAGCCGGTTCCGGACGATATAAAGGCAGCCTGCGGCACCGTACTCGTCTGCGCCATTTGTCACTGCGATGCGCTTGGCTATCGTTTTCGTAGTCGTCCTGCTCAGTGCGCTTTCAGATCAGGTACGGTAACTACATAGTAATTGCTCGAGTGCGTCTAAATTTCCTTATTTACTTTGTGATTTTGCTAATTATTCTCGCATGAATTCATATCTCCTAATCGAACCTGTAGCTTGTTTACGTAAACAATTTTATTTGTATATCTCCAACGATTGAGTCGTAGCCCACCGTCGAATTGGGTTCATCGCTGACAGTTATCCCAATTACTCTCCTATTTTTTACTTCCTCATATTAGTACATCACACTCTGATTTTGATGATTTTGCTCAAGTGTTCTGCAGAAGGAAAAATCTTCTGAAGCTTGCGTGTCCCTTTCTATGTATGCATATTAGACTTCCATTCAAAATCATAGTGGCGACTTCGTTGGTGTGCGCGACTTATGCAGTGACTGAGAAGGGCCAGCTGATGCATAAACCAGTACTTTTACCTTCCTGAGTCTGGAACTGAGTAACCGATACCGGAGAGATGAAAGACATGAATGACCTGGGAGGTAGTGATCCGGAACCCGCCGATACCTGTGCCTTTGATAGTGCCCCACTTGACACTGCGCCACTTCCGCTCAGTGGAATGTGATAAGCATGATAAATACCTTTGAGTGAAAGAGGTCCACTCGTGAAAGAGTCTCAACGGCTAATAGGGCACCCCTTCAACCTTCACTGAGCAGAAAACCGCACTTAAAGTGGAATGGAAAGAGGGGATTATGCCAACAATGGGATTGATCTACATTAAAAGACCTTAGGTTCTATCCTTCAAGGCTCTTAGTTTGCCTAACTCACCCAACACTTGTTGACGTATTTCATATAGCATTGCTTTTTAGACACTGAGTCGCTTAAGCTCTTTGAAGCTTTAAGCCTCTTGAGCATTAGATTTCACTTCTTGCGTCTCGCACATTACTGATTCTTGTATTTCGAGAAAAAATCCCGATTTGCGACCAGTTTTTTGTACTAAGGGGTCCTTCCAAAAGCACAGTTCGCCATAATTTTGAGGTACTCATTTTATGTTGAAAAGAGGAGTGTTGATGAAATATAATGCATCGGTGGCGGAGAAAGCAATGGAATCCGCCTAATTTGCAAAACGTAGGGCTATTCAAAAGTAGTCGCACTAAAGGCTGTACGAGATTACCATGACAAAAAGGCATGGAGCGGGTATTCGGACGAGATTTCAGTTGTCACTATTGCGCAAAGAACTAGCTACATCAATAAGATTTGTCAAGAACCACCATCGCCATGGGTCATGACAAGTTGTTTGAACATTCAACATGGAAGTCCTTCGGGATAGTGTAGCCTCTGAATCACCGTTGAAACTCGTCCGCTGTGGGTGTGGCTTCCTCTAGCCCCTTGTTTTGCCCTATCCAAGAAGTTTTTCGACCTTATACCCACCACATATGGTATCAGAGAGGGCTTCAAGTTCATGCTATGTGGAATATTCAGAGACCATTTTCATCGTGAACCGTGCCTTCAAGTTTGAATTTCTTATACCTTCTGCAGTTTTCTGAAATGAATGCGTGAAGTCTAGATTCCGACTGCGATGACACTAACAGAATCTTCTCAAGTTGGCCATTAAATATCCGAAAAGGAAAACAGATGACCTCNATGCTATGTGGAATATTCAGAGACCATTTTCATCGTGAACCGTGCCTTCAAGTCTGAATTTCTTATACCTTCTGCGGTTTTCTGAAATGAATGCGTGAAGTCTAGATTCCGACTGCGATGGCACTAACAGAATCTTCTCAAGTTGGCCATTAAATATCCGAAAAGGAAAACAGATGACCTCATTTCCTCAAAGGCCTACCCAGTTCTTTGCTCTAACCAGTATTAGAACCTTATTGACTGCATTGAACTAGGTCGAACTCTCCGAAATTTTGTAGAGTAGATCGTATCGTCAAGCAGAGCTCCTGCTGTTGGCTTTCTTGTGAAGGACCGTTCAGAATGAGCGCTCCCGCATGGTAGTCAAAGTTCTACTTTGGCAATGCCAAGTTTTCTATATGTTCATTCCTCGAAATAGAAATATATTGAACCTCTTGATTTCTATGATATCAATATGAAGAAAAAGTGCTATAGGTAGCGCTAACTTTTGTACAATCGTCATGTCAAAAATGCTCGCACGCATGGTCCGTGGATCGGATCAGGATCGATACCCATCCACGTCGTTCTGCCTTCCACCTCTTACCTACCACACTCGTCTAGGAAGGTTAAAATACCGAACGGTTCATTGGCTGGTCATCGCAGGCAAAAGGCCACATTGAGAGCTCCCTTTGTTTACTATCACTCAGAAATGTGAAAATTCTGAAATGGCTGAGGTGGCCAAGGATTCGAGTTTGAAGAAAAGTGTTTTGTCTTGCTTATTTCTATATTTTTTTTCCTAATTGCGTTAAACAAAATGTAAGTTGCAATATTAAATTCATTATTCAGATCTCGCTGAACCGTGCCAAACGACAATGTCCATGCGCCCGTTTGGTCATTGACACATGCACCTGCAAGGCGGATCCAACACCTCGTTGTACTTGTACGGCACCGATCTCGCCTCCAACCTGTACTTGTGCTGCTCAAACGCAAGCATCTCTCTGTCGCCCATCATGCTTGCACACTTGCGTCTCCTTGTGCCCTCAGGGCGTGTCACAAACTACTTGTCAATCATCCTGCCGATATACCTGTTCCGAGTCATGCATGCCCAGGCAAGCTGTTCCCATCCGCGTGCTCGTGCAGCAACCAAAGACACCTGAAGAATGTGGAGGAGTTTGTCAGCAGTCATGCCAACAATCTTGCTTGTCTCAGGCCAATCCTTCTAGTTGTTCACTGCTCTGCCGGCAGTCGTGTGAACCGAGTTGTGTCTACGCTGCTGTCACCCCGAAGCCTTCCCCCGTTCCTCAGTGTGCTGCTGTATGTATGCCTTCCTGTGAGACTCAGTGCATACAACAGTACAATATCGTCATATCCAAATCAATGCCTGCAGAGCTGAAATCGCTTGTTCAACAGCCGGTCTCGCAGATGCAATGTGCGAGTACGTGCATGCCACTTTGTACTCCACAATGCACACAACAATATGCAGTCAGTTCGCCAAGGGTCCCTAGCAGGCCCGCCCCGCAGTGCATCCCAGTATGCATGCCCCTCTGTACTGCGCAATGCATCCAAGCACAACAAGTGGCCACTAGGCCTCCAACCGTTCCAAGTCCTTCTCCTGTCCAGTGCATATCTGTATGCATGCCCTTGTGTACCCCACAATGCATCCAGCAGCAACAGATAGACACTCCACCTCCCACACTCCGAACATCGCCTCCTCCTCAGTGCATAGCAGTATGTATGCCACTCTGTAGCCAACAGTGCATTCAACAGGCACAGATTGTAACGAGACCGCCGACCGTTCCAACTACCCCTCCCGTCCAGTGTGTTTCTATCTGTATGCCTCTTTGCACTCCTCAATGCATCCAGCAGACACAGATTATTACCGCAGCTCCAACTTTACCTTCTGTCCAATGTATCCCTGCTTGTATGCCGTTGTGCTCGTCACAGTGCATTCAGAGTCAGACAGCCATTTCTCAAGAGCCTTCAATCTCGTCAGGAGGTTGTAGTCCAATTTGTCAACCTTTGTGCGATCAGCAATGCGTCAAAGCCCTTACTGTGAACATATCGCTACAGAAGACAGACTTCTACCAGTCACCGATTCCGCAACCGAATCAACCCCCTGTGTCCGTTGGATCCACGCAATGTGCTCCACAATGCCAGCCGGCTTGTGAGGAGCAGTGTGTCAAGGGTTACGTAATAACCCCGTTGAATGAACCCGCACTGCCACCGCCACCACCACCTCCACAACAACAACACCAACAACAGTCAGCAGCTTATTGCCCAGTGCAATGTCAACCAAACTGTGAAGAGCAATGTATACAGCAGAACCAAGATTTCACCATCAACATAGTTTTTGAAGACAAGAAGCAGTGTGATGAAGTATGTATGCCGGCCTGCACGCCTGAGTGCATCCAGCAGGCGCCAGCTCAAACCCAGACAACTCCGGTTCTGCGCGAAGGCGTGCAGTGTGTCACTGAATGTATGCCGTTATGCGAGCCACAGTGTTTGGCCACGGTAACCGTAGTTGTTCCTGTTACACCGCAGCCAAGTCCAGTAACACCAGCATGTGTTCAGCAGTGCCAACCGGCTTGTTCCCCAACTTGTACAGAGGTTAGATATTTTTAGTTTGTGGATGATTCAGTAGGCACATTGACACACAATATTTCAGACCTACATCGCACCACCGCAGAGGGACAATTGTATCCCCAGCTGTCAACCGGCATGTGAACCTGAATGCATTCAGGTACAGAGGTCTAATCGACCATACTTTAGAAATCATTTGAAATATAACTACTAGGTATTCGATAACTGAGGCTTCAACAAAAAATAGATCTGATTGTGAAGCTTGTGCTCATTGGAAGACTCGTTACAACATAAACGTTCACTGAAGCATTGTAGTTCCAAAATTGTAATACGAAAAGCTCAGTCTGCCAAAGCCTAAACGCACCGGCCATATATGGTGCGCAGCGAAGCGACTTCTTGTGACCTGAACTTTTCAGTAGTGTACTTAATCTATAAGTGATATTTATAACCAATTCATCCTGTAGCTCCTCAACTATGTATGTAGTATGACTGTGGTGCTCTACAACATAAACTAGATCACCTATCCCGATCTCGCCCATAGACTCTAGACAACCCTTCCTGAATGCCACCTATAGAAGTTCACCCCCCCCCCCATAGCAGTTCTGATTGGGTTACTATAAGGTAATGAGGTTCCTTCAAAATCAGGTAAGGATATCTTCGCGGGCGTTCTTTTAGAGCAATGTTTGGAAGTTTGGGTGCAGAATTCTGAATGAGGGTTCAGGGTGATTTGCTCTTTGAGAGTTTTAGAAAATAGGTTCAAGAAGTTTATTACCAAACAGCGAAGACAACCTGTAAAGCAATCTATATTTAGCAACTAACTAAAGTAACCCAGCTACGAGTGCTGTTAATGAATTACGATATCGAGAGAACGGGAAGAGGTGTAATGAAATCTGTCAGCCATCTCTTCAGAACTCACTATGTGCGGCCGTCGCTTACGAGTTGCCTCTTGGAGTGTCTAAGCTTGAACTGATCATGTTATTAAAAAGAAAGTGAAAATTGCAAGAAGCAGAGAAAGCGCCCCCATATGCGCTCTCTGATATTAAACCTCGTCGTCACTTCATCGTACCTATTGCCTTTGGGGTGGACTGCGATCCTACGGGCGAGAATGGGATTACGACGCACTGGCGAACGGCGATCTGTTGCTGTTGAGATCTACACATCTCGATACATTTCTGAAGCATTCAACGACATGACTGTAGTGGGACTTCGAGAGTTGCTTTTCTTCTGAAACATTGCATTTTCTTCCCATTCTACGGTTCGTATGCAATACGTTTCCTACGCTTTTGTTCCTCAGATATACTCTTTGTTTTTCAATTCATGCGTTACTGCAATCAAGATAACGTGCTCTCGATTGATAGGAACTGATCCATTGGAATATGGCTCCACTGTTGGCTCGCGCTGAGTGGGTTGGCTTCATAACCTCGGCGGTAGAATGCACTACTGCTTTGCCTTTCTTAATTATTTAGCTCAGCACGCTTGATGCTATGGGTGGTTTTTGGGTACAAGCTATATAATCATTCAAGTTTTTCACGGTACCTAGACGGAACTTGAAGATCCCCTTTATTTAGCCTTGAGCTTCACGCATTTTCGCCTCAGCTATCCCTTTTTGGCAGCAAGTTGTCGCTCCCGAGCTATTCACCAAGTTTGAATGCTGGGCAAGCGACAGAGTACTGTTAAGCTTCATCAACTTAGCAATTTTATTGTCTAAAACTCTAAGGTTTTTCACATTCAGCGCGAACAAATAACTCAATGTCCCCCTCAATGCGAACCGGCATGTGAGCCGCAGTGCATACAGCAGTACCCAATGGCGTCGTCTAATATAGGCGTCCAGGTAACGTAATTTCAGGCAAAGTCACTATAGAGGTGACCGAATGAATTTGTACTCTCTACAGTAAGGCTGTCGCTTTACAATATCAATCAATTCACCAGAAGCCAGTGTAAGGCTCTCGTTCAACGTATTCCAGGCCGTCTACACCTTATCGCCAGTACTAAATGAGCAGCCGTCGGGACAGTGCGCACCAGCCTGCCAACCAAGCTGTGACTCGGAATGTGTACAAAACTACCAATTTGATATCGTAGTCCCACAGAATAATGAATGCATGGCTCCTTGTAGCCAGAGTTGCATGAGCAGCTGTGAACAGCAGAACAGCGCAAAGTACGAATGCCAGGTTAGTCGAGTCGAACGTTCCCTTTAAGAAATTCTGCGTAGTTTTATGGCCAGCTCTTTTTCGAGCATTTATAGTAAGACGCATTCACGTGTAATAGCGTAGTGATAGCATGATCAAATGCTACCTATGGAGCTGTGAGTTAACCCATAACTTTGCCCCTATAAGAGTGCAACAACTCTAAATAGCATACATACGGGTTAGGATACCCAATGCTCAAGATTTATGGAAACATTGGGATCGGGTACCCAGTACTTTCAAAGTCCATCTTTTCGTTTAACTATTGCGATATGCAAGCGAAGGAAGCCCACGATCCTTTTGAGAAAAAAGTAACGCTCCATTGTTAGCTGAAAGAATGCCCAAGCTAGCTGTTCGATGATGGCGAACGCGATTGGACCAAAAGACGTCCCTTGACAGCATGACCTAGATTTGGCGTTGCGACCGCAATGAAGTGTCCTGACTCAGTCTATGATACTGAAGCACCGATTTCACAAAATGTCTGCATCTGACAAAGCCTAAAACTGGTGAAAGCAGAGCTGCATATTATCACTACCCAAATATCACTTTTACAGAATGCATGTGTAGACTCATGCATAATGAGCTGTCACGACACCTCCGAGTGTCCTACGTGTCCGCCAGAAATTCGAATGGAAATCATTCTACAGGAACCAATGCAGGTATACTCACATCGAAAGAAACCTTTTTATAAGATCGAAATTTTATGCGTAATATTATTGAAAATCTCATCGTAGGAAACAGTAACTTGTGCCTCCACTTGCTCAGCCCAGTGCACCGTACAGTGCAGCACACGAGCTAATCCTGAACAATGTCAACCAGTATGCCAATCGGCTTGCGAAAAAGCTTGCCCGCTGCAGGTAATTTTAGTATGTCGCTTCAGCACTCCGCAAACATATAGCTCAGACCTGTGGCTTCATACTCGAATCGTTGGGAGGAACTCCACTTGGAAGACACTTGCTTGAATAAGTTCGAGCAGCATTGCTCACACAAGAATGTGCACACAATCGTTAAAAAAATTCAAATGGCAGTTAAGGTTCAACCGTGTTCTTCCACGAATGGCCAGTGTGACTGCGCTAATGGTTTTTACGGTTGTGGCAGAGATCAGTGTTGCCGCCGACGGCGCCGACGTTGAAAGATGTC